TTTTTTAATCTGTGTAACTTTTATTACCAGAATACTGAAGTAAATATCTCAAAAAGTAAGCCTTATAAGTATTAAATAGCAGCAACAACAAAAAATGGAAAAAGGCAAAATATATTCCCACTGTTTTGAGGCTAAAGGAAGAAATGTAGACAGTTGGATTAAACTACTGTTATTTCTCTTTCTTTATTTTGATTTTTACAATAGCCTCTTGTGGTATAGATTTTTGTGAAAAAATCTATTTGTCAGTTTTATTGTAGTTTTGAGAGCTTTAATTATGTTTAGTCATAACTGAATGTTTTCCAGAAATCTGTGAGACTCTTCCCCTATAGGTTTACATGGGTATGAAAATATTCTATGGTTGTCTAACCCAACCTTGTTAATTATTATGCACTCTGGATAATGCTGATAATATTTAGCGTAGAGTTCAAGAAGGTTCCATCCTTGTTTACACAGATAAGACTTGGAAAACATGTTTTTTCAGAATAGTTTGTCCAAAGCTGAAAGTAGAACTGAGATTTCATTTTTCTCAGTTGCTGTGTTTCTGGTTATGTTTCTGTTAGTGTTTTAATTAGAATCAGGAGTGCATTTTTGAAGCGAATCTCCTGATAACCCCAACTTACTGCACCTTGATTCACATCACAGTGCTCTTTGAAGTATGTGGAGTATTCTTTTTGGATATAGCAAACCAGATGATGTATGTATTCAGGGGTGCATCTGATGTGCTGCAGCTGCTAATGGATTTTAATTAGTGGCTAGGGCTAGTCTGAAGTAAAGCTCCTCTCCTTCAAAAAACAGAGGGGTCTCGTGGCCTCATCACAAGTATTTTGCTCTATTGATCCACCCTAGTGCTTAATTGCTGATGCAGACACAGTGTTGTAAACCAGATCAGGCTTTGTTTCTGTGTTTATTGACTCTGCTGTAAATAAAGTAATTAAGCTGTTTGATACTTGTTAGGTTTTGCTATTACTGATAAAATAAGTAGCATTTTAATGCATGTTTAGTTCTTAGTTTATGAATCTATTTCCTGCTTAAAAAGACAACATAATATTCAGAAGATAAACACCAGAGCAAACATGAAGCAAATATGTTTTGATACCAAAATCTATGTGGTTATGTAGTGGTATAATTTGGTTTATACAGAGCTCCACACTTAGACGGCTAGGCTGCTTTGTGTACCTGAATCAGTATGGGTGTCTGTCTGCTACAGAACACTGCAACACGGAGCATTGTAGACATGCTGTTCCCAAATCTAATGAGCTAGAATATGCCTTGGCATATAACCATAGTTGGTAGTGCTTAAAAAAAAGTTTAAAATTCAACTATATCAAGGCAATAAGCATTTACTAGTAGTGAAGAGGAATACCAGCATGTTACCATAGTCCAGGATAGTGAGAACATAGAACTGGGTGTGGAATTCAAAATAAAGATTAGTGTACAATATCTTGTCTCCAACAATGGCCATAAGCAGATGCTTCGGGAAGACTGAGAATAGGACAAGTATGTATGATTCTTGTCTCATCCTGTCTCCAAATATTCTTCTATTCTTCAGCTATTTTCAGCTCAGCACTTTTGTACCTTTGTCTAACAACCTATAATGGATCTCTTCCAAGAAATACAATTACTTACCCAGTCTTCCCTTGAAACCAGGTATAAAATTCCTGCTGCATCCACTGTGTTCTCAGGCATGCAGTTTAATGGGCTGACTACTCATTGCTTACAAACTTTTGCTTTTCTAGTTTGTAGCTGGTACATACTAGCTTCATTTGATGGCTCCTTGCTCTTCTACTGGAGCGGTTAATCCCCAGACCCATGCTGTGTATGCAACTCATAATTTTGTGGCTATCTCCTATATCTCCCCTTAGCCATTTCTTTTCTGAACTGGTGAGTTCTAGCCTACTCCGTGTTGCTTATATAGAAGCCACTCCTTACCTTTGGTGACCTTATTGTCTTTCATAGAATCATTTCTCTGATCCTTTTCTAATTATGCCATATGTAGAGATTATAGCTACCTGAAGGGCTTGGAAATCAATAGTGTGTTTAATGTCTGGATGAGCCACAAATTTATAGTGGCAAGATGATGTCTCTTGTTTTCTATTTCTCTCTAGTTACCTTCTACATCTGAGTTTCCTTTTTACTGCTACTGAGTACTAAGCCAGTGTTTTCATTGAACCGCCTATTATTACTTCTGAGTCTTGCTCCTGAGTGGTGGTGGTGAGGTCGTGCTTTGTTAGCTTTTATGTGAAGCTAATATGATCTTTTCCATGGATATCACTTTTAATTTAACAATGTTGAATTTCATTGGCTATTTTAGCATCCTGAGGTCCTTCTGCAGTCATTCTTCATTGGTGCTTAGGAATCTTCATTGTCATCTCACTTCTCAGCCTGATTTGTCTATCTTTTGCAAGTATATTAAATTGAATAAATTCCAGCACAGGCCCTTTGCAAAACTCCCACCAGTGGGCTCCCTCCACAACAAGAACTGACCGTTTATTCTTATGCTGTTTCTTACATTTTATTTAACTTTGTCTGTGCTGTCACCTCTTAATCTGTGGCAGCTTAATTTCCTTAAAAACCTTTCAGAAAATTTTGTAGATTGTTTGGACCAGAGTCTCCCTTTTCCACATCCTTCATGAGAAGCCGTGCCCAGTCTTACCAGAGCAAATTGTATTTATCTAGGTATCCATTAATTCTGTACTTTATTATAACTTCTCATTTTTTTAATACAGACATAAGGCTAGCAAGTCTTTAGTTCCCTGACCACCCTAAAATCTTTTTTAATGAATAGCATTGTATTTGCCACAGATAAGATACGATAATATTAACTGAATGAAAAGTGAGTTATGATGGTTCTGCTTGTAATACAATTCTCATGTTCCATCTGAATGAGTTTAATGTAATAAAACAGCTCTAAAGTTTTCAATAATTATCAGTTTGACTTATAGTTAAACTTTAAGAAACATATGTAACTAGTTGCTGCAAAGTCAGTATCTTTAGTTCTACTTTAAAGCGAAGCTTTGCTTCATAAATGTTTTTAAAAAGCAGAAAGTTTGTGATAAAAGATATAATACTCGTACTATATTTGAATAGCGTTCTTTTTTAAAGTTGAGCAAGCCTTTCAAAAAAGCCTGTATTAATTTAGATTTGCATTTTGTGCACTATTCACTTATACTTAAAATCTGAAAAGATGAAATAGATGAAAAGTTATAAAGGTTCCCTAAGGTTAATATGCTACATGTTTATATTAATAAAACTATTCCTCCTTCATGAAGCCAGAGGTACTTGAGGTTGATAATGTTAATAAACCTTTTTTTAAAAAAAGAGGAAGATAAATTCTGCTGCACTGTAAATTTGTGGGGTGACCATAAAATATTTTGCCATGAATATTGTATCAGAAAGTAGATAAGAAAAAGGGGAAGAAGAGAAAGAATAGATTTCTTGAGTTAGTTGACCTAAGACCCACAACTTAATAATGATATGATAAATTTTGTATCAACAAATTTTTAGAACCTGTTGTTATTAAAGACTATATATGTTCTTAAAGGGTTATATTCATCGGCTTATGAGGAATTTCTTTCCATTAAAAAAAAGTAACATTAAGTATTTTCATTTTGTTAATACATTAGTTTTTGCATCAGAAACCAAAATATACTAAGATGGGCTTAGAAAAATAACTGAAATTGTAAGAGAGAAAACCAAACCTGTCTGAAACTTTTTAGGAATTCTAATACAAATTTGCTCACATAATTTTTATATAGCCACCTTAGTTTTCCATACTTAGAGTATAATGTAAAATTGGTAGTATGATGTATGGTTCTATTTCTTGCATTCATTTTTTTTCTTGTTGAAAATGGTGATTCTTCCTCACTGCTAACAAAGATTGATCAGGAAAAAAGTGCTGAAAAATGAAGAATTTAATAAAACAAAAACAGTAAAGTGCCCTATAATATTCTCTTACCCTGTAGTTATTTGGATCTCTTTCTAGGCATAAGACATAATAAAAAACTGAGTAGCTCAAATAATACTTTTCTTTAGACTGCTTAAAGCAATTTTTGTTCTACTTTGAAGCAGAATATAGCTAATTGGTATTAGCTATGCAGAGGGATAGTCTAAATTAATAATTTAAAGAACCTGGAATGCTACTATTTGTACCTGTTCTACTTGATGAACAATTCTACTAAAAGGATTGTATTACATTTTTAGGTGCCTTCTAAAATAATATGGACTAAAGCACAGGTAAAATGTAGATAAAAATAGTTCAGTTATATTAATGCACATCCTTTTCTCTGGATCATAAGACCTTTGACGAAAGGTCATTTACTGCCTATATTACTAATGAGCTAAAATCTCCTTTAAAAGAGTTGTGATAGTTGAGGTTCAAGCTGAGAAGTAAATATTATAATACACCTTGGCAGGACATTGCAAACATAATATGAGGAAGACTTGAAACTGAAAGTTTGTGATTTTCCTGTCCGATTAGAAATTGGAAGAAGAAACATCTGTGTTTCTGGAAGATGCGCAGGAACCTTGTGGAAGTATTTTTGTGATCTTATCCTCCTATTCTTTTCTCTAGTGTGTGTCTATTTTCTACTGCTGTTAGTAGTAGGATGTATAGCTGGATGGATTTTTGGCCTTATCCGCTTGTTCCTATTGAGCATGACATTGATTTGTATTTTAGTCATTTTGCAAGTTGGATCACTTTAGAACATAGAAGCCCCTTCAGGTCAATTTTCTTCAGCTTAGACTGCCCACCCAAGGATGGGTGCGCATCATCAACCCAAGTTATAAATCAGACTGCTATCTAATGCTGAGGTGAGTGCTCTTTGCTCCTAGTATTATGGTTTTTACTACATCAATAATAGGACATTTACCTACACTAAAATCCTATCTCCACTTTATAGATGTATCTTAAATATCCCAAACTATCCAACTGTTCTAAAATGGATATGAATACCCCACAATTAAATAATAGTTTCCATGTATACTCATTAACAATGATTACTTCACTGAAAGTAAGGATGGAAGTAGTTTTCTTCTGCTTCATTATCTTCTTCAGTTTCATGATCATGTGTTCCGTGATCGTCTTCTGCTTCATTGTATTCTTCTCGTGTTAAAAATCGTCGAAACACTGATATTGTTAGCTGAGTTGATTTGTTGACATTAACGTTTTGTTCACCATAATAAATGGTTCGAATGTAAGGGAAGCAAAAGAATGCGTATCTGCTTATTGGAATTGTAAGCTTATTTTGGTCCACCCGTATATAGGTTAATTGGTTGGTGTTCATTGGATCAATAGATGGACACATCAAAGTAACATTTATGACTGTAAGAGAGAGAAAAATATTAATTAAAATACAGAAAACAGTTATATTTAAGACCTATTGCAAAAGTGAAACTTATGTTTTGAAATTTAAAACGGAAAATATTTTAGTGGTGCACAGTATTAATATAATCCTTCCCTGTGTTTTAAATTGGTTTTGTAAATGACAGTGATAACATTTTTGAGGTTTGCAAAGTATAATGTTGTAGGTTAAAGAAAAAAATAAATATGAATACCACTACAATATGTAATTACTATTTTATGTGAATGGAATATTTTCATAATTCCTTTTCTCTGTATGTTTTTATCAATTGCCTAATCAGAAGCAATTTCCAAAAAGGTTTTAGCTTGTTTTATGAAAAACTGGTATTAACTTTTACAAAGAATTGTGAATTAGGGGTAAGGTGCAAAAATAAAATCTTTTCTCATTTCACCCGTTTGGTCTCAACTAACCGAGGATGTGTTTACACTGCATTTTGAAGATGATGAGATGATATTCTTCCTGCACTGTAAGCTGATCAAAAGCTACATAGCTACGTTTGCTCCTGAGAAATACAGTGCCACATTAACTGGTTAGTTCAGAACACTAATAGCTCAAGTTCACCTCTCTGCAAAGGACATCAGAGTACCTCTTGAACAACATGCAAATTTGATGACTGCTGGATTCTATGCTTGGTTTATACATGACCTAACTGAGAAGCTGTAAGGTGGCAGGTCCTTGAAACCAAGGACGCAACAAAAGAGATGTTTCTGATAGTTTTTGATTTAGGCTAGAAGTTCTTAATTCTGGATGGAAAATATGCTGAACTCACCCCCTCCCACAACCAACACCAAAATCCGCTAAGTTTTTTGCTTTTAAAGAATTGGAACCATCAACATACTTTCAATGTCATTGTCTTCAATATACAAATGCTGCAAACTTTTTGGAATGTAGAATACTTGTTTCAATTTGTTATGTCCAAGATTAAGTTCTAGAAGGTTAGGTAGATTAAAGGTGTTGCGTGGAATGTTCTGCAGGTTATTGTGGGACATTCTTAGAGCAATGATTTTTGGAAGTCTGTTGAAATAGTTTTCTGGAATATAAGAAATGGAGTTATTTTCAAGAGAGAGATACATAAGTGACGATGGTAGATCAGGAGGCATAGTCTGTAATTTGTTGTTGCATAAGTTGAGCTGCATTAAGTTTTTCATGTTTGAAAAGGATTTTTCTTTGAGTACAGAGTCATCAAGAAAGTTATTGCAAAGGTCAAGCATGGTTATGTTAGGTAATCCTTCCAATGCATTTCCTGATAACCGAGAAATCCTATTGAAACCAAGGAGGAGTCTCTCTAGAGAGCTGGGGAGTGGGAATGGAAATTCTTCTAATTCATTATGTTGTAAATGAAGTTGCACTAAGTTTGAAAGTTTGGCAAAAACACCATGGTCAATCATATGAAATTTAATTTTGTTGTGGCTGAGGTTAATTTCTCTTAGGAAGGTAACATTAGTGAATGGTCCTGCAGGCACAGCTTCAATATCATTGTTTTGCAGATAAAGTTGTTGGACGTGACTAGGGATATTTGGTATTGTCTTAAGTTTACGATGATCACAGTACATGGATAACGGAAAAGCTGGTGGACAAAAGCATTCTCTGGCGCACTCAACTGGAAAAGGAAAGCGGGGAACTTCAGCTTGTGTATTTGGATTAAAATTAAAATAATCTGGATGTTGATGATCTGGCTCCTCATCATATTCATCCTCAAAATCATAGTCTTCATATTGACAAAAGACCATAGCAGCCCAGAGGAGGTGAATGATTGATAGCTGGTTCAGAATCCCCATATTTAAATTTGTATCTTGTATCCTGTTGATGAGAAGGAAAAATAAGTTTATTAGATAGTCATAAAGTAAATCACAGAAGTTTCAGTTTTAAGAAGAAGCAATATAAAATAGAAGAATGCATTTTTTTTTGGCAACACTGTCAGTGATATTATTAGCAAAAACAAGTTTCATTCTGTATCTTCCAAGAAAACAGGAATAAACAAATACACTGTCCTTGAAGTAAACATAAGTTTTCTTGTCTGACTTCAGACAAGGAACAGCTTTCTACCTTTGCTGTGCCTGTTACTGAAGGATACCATAACAGTTGGGAGTAGAAAAAAATCCCAGTCTTCGTTCCTTTCTCTCTTTAATTTATTACAGAGAAGTTGCAAAAGGACTTTACATAAAGTGGTATAGTCTGGGGTTTGTATTGGACATTTGAGGTCTTGCATTCTTTCAAGTGTAATGGGTTAAGCATCAGCCTTACAAGTTAGTTTTAAATGGGTGCGGATGGAATTCCTGAGCAACGTTTCGTCCTCAGACCTTTGGAAAAACATAGATAGCCTTATTAAACTCTGTCAAGATGAAAACTTTTTTTGCGAATGTATTAGTTATTCTCACTATGAACCTGCAACACACAAATGGTGTGTGGTCAATATTGTAGAATCATAGAAGTGTTGTTTGGAAGGGGCTTTTGGCGGTCATGTAGTCCAGTCTGGTGTGCCAAGTGTTTCCATCTCCAACAGCGGATCAGATCAGCCTAGATTTTGTCTGGGTGAGCCTTGAAAATCTTCAAGGGTGGAATTCCGGCATCTCTCTAAATAACCCAAGTTAGTGTTATACTACGCTCCTTCTGAAGAAATTTGCTAGTCTTACTAAGCATCCAAGCCATGGCTTGTGTCTGTTGTCTTTGTTTTTAAACAAAGTTATTTTTGTTAAAAATATATTTTCTCAACTAAGGTGAGGTAATTGCAGGATTGTTTCTATAAACAGAACAGTGAAATAGATTACTTTGAAATAGTCTTTTATGTAAAATAAATTTACATGGTGTTGGTGTCTGTCTGTTCTGTGGCATTTTATGTTGTTTTTCTATTATTTTCTGCAAAACATGGCTGACTTAGTACAATGCATTAATGATGATAAAAATTTAATTTTTCTGTTCCCATCATTTAAGTCACATACAAGTCAACCATTGTGTACTGCACATCATATAAAATCTTTGTTGATAAGAAGTTTTCTTTATAGTCTTCCTATGCTTCTGTAATCATATGTTCTTTACAGACATGAACTAATTCACCTTCAAAGTACCCTTCTGAGCTGAAGTACTGATGTTGTGAAAAACAAATAATTTTGCATGTCAAATTTCTGATGCTCAAAGCCAGACTAACATTTTAGAGCACTTTATGCAGTCAGAGGAACCCTATTATTTGGCAGAATTAGAGTTGTGAATCATGTCAAGCTGTTCAACTTAAACAACAGATGAGTCAAAAGTGTAACATTGCAGGTCAAAGCACACAAATCATGGAAAATTTTAAGAGACTTCACTCAGTATAGTGTGGGAACCCTGAGGCAGAAGAAAGCAGATATTCTCAGGTTTTTTTATAAATAGATTCGTGTTTCTTAATCAGGAGACTCTTTTCTTTGTTTTCTTGATGCTTTTAGTATTTTTTTTACCAAACAATCAGTAACAAAGGAGATGAGACTTGCAAGTGCTAATTTCCTATGCTTCATAGTGGCGATTAATTCCTAATGCATGATGGATTCTACAAATTGAATGAGAGAGCATCCTAAGAGGAAAAAAAAAAGTAGTGACAATCATGGCATTTAATACATCCTCGTAATCTTCCTGTGTTGCACACAGCCCATATGTGACAATGGCTGGGTGAAATAATTTGTGGTATTGTCTAACTTGCATTTCTAACTTTGTATCATTTGTATTTGAATGCTCCTTTAATCAAGTTTCATAACTGATTAAAATCTTAAAAACAGGTTTGGATGGAGTCAGTTGTTTGGAACCCCACTGTAGGTAGGTCCTCAGCAAAGCCAGGGAGTCCATATCCCTACAGCATCATCAGATGTCTGAGCTAATCTAAGTAAATGGCAGAAATTTGTCTGCACAGAGAGCAGCCTTGCACTAGAAGCATTGTATAAATGCACTATGCTGATAAACTTTGCAGACACTTGCTGAGTTGAGAAGCAATACTGTGCTTCAGGAGGAATTAATTCGTTTTCAGATTTCAGGCAGTGTGTATTGGCAGAATACCTTATTACCATATTTCTAACTTCTAGTCAGACCTGGTGGTGTCTACCTATGTAAAATCTGTCTCTAAATCCTGTGACTTGATTTTGTTTTTCATGAACAGATCTTTACACAATCTGTCCCCCATGCCTATTTCATGTTTTTGGTTCCCTTTTGAGTCCTGTTACTCTCTCTCAGTTTCAGTCCAGAACTTTAGCTTCACCTTCTGGTTCTATTCTCTTAGCACTTCTACTAGGTGTCACAAAATTTCCAAGTAATAATTTCAGTTCTCAGTGCCACGATAGTCTTTAGAAACCAGGAGGAACAACTCGGGAAAGTCCTGCTCAGTTTGAGGAAAAAGCTTACTTAGGCCTTCGTGCAAGTGATCCACTTGCCAGGTAGACAGTGTAAAGAGAACTATCATTGCTTCAGATGGAATGAGAAGTAATAGGTACCAAAGTCTCTTGCTGGTTTTATGGAGAGAGGGGAGCTGGTATCTGGGGGGATGTTTTTTATAACTTGGCCGTAATTGAGTGCATTTTTAGTAGCATAGTAACTGTCCTGTCAGGCTTGCAGGTCATGTCTCAAAGCACTGAGATACTATACTTCTTCATGAAATATTTCTAAGAACTTAACTAGCTTTAAAACAAGAATCACGTCAGGTAAAACTTGATAATGGGGGAAGCAAGTCAGATGCACACAATATGATAAATTGCATACTTACAAAGTTGAAAGAAAATAGAAAATCTTAAAAGCATGATTCTCTACCACCTATAATAAACTCAAAGCTTAGTAACTGTATTTGTAAGCAGTTTACTAGCTGAAAGCTAAAAATTATTTAACATGCATGAATCACTCTTAACTGCAAAAATAACACAATCCGTTCATTTTATTCCTGCTTACCAAGGAAACTTACTCTTTGGAAGTCTGTGAAGCTCAAGTTGTAGAGGGCGGCAAGTTATTGTGCTGGTGAAGTCATCTGAGAAATAGCCTAACACAGCTGGAGGAACAAAAGAGCTCTCTAAGCCATATTTTGTGGTGAGGAGCCTTGTGGGAAGGCAAAGCAAAATAATAGCCTTAGCTCCTCTTCTGATTTGCCAGTAAAAAGAAAAAAAAAAAAGTTTTGTGCCACATCATCAGTTACTGTAGATGCTGTGTCATAAGTCTGTGAAGCGATTTCTCCTTTTGTTAAAATCACTTCAAAATTATTTGTAAGATTCTTTCAGTGTTACCAGTTCCCATTAAAAAACAATTGAGAGAGTAAGACTTTAAAAAATATTTCAGAGGTCGTTAGTTCATAGTGCGGATTCAACTACAATGATTCGGTTACGCAAAGGATTTGTTCTCTGGAGGATGAAGTTAAGAAACAGTAAAAAATTAACCTTACCAAGATTGAGGGAAAGCATGTACTATAGAAAAGCTCTTATGAATATCTTCCATTTTATACTTTTTTCCCTCCACAATCCATATTTCCTGTTTCCTTCCTGCAAAGTAGTTGTGCTATACAGTGCTGTTGGTATGATGATGTACTTCTCAATGTTGTTTTAAAGTTGTAGTTCAGGATTCACAGTAGGTTTCTGATGTGTTTTCGCTAAGTTGTATAGAAAGAGCATAAATCTTCCAATGAAAAAGAAAAGTATGACATGAGATTAAACCATTTTACTGAAGAAAAATATTTTTCTTAGCTTTTAGGAGGGAGAAAAAAAAAGGCATGGTTATCTGCTTTTGCTGCTATATGGTACTTAAATAACTGTGACATCTGCAAAAAAAGGAGAAAAAGGACAATTTTTTTTAAAGTGAGATGCTGTTCTGGATTAATTGTATGATTTATCAAAATCATTTAATTATGATTTTGGTTTGGTAAAAGAATTACATTATTTCAAAATCTATTCACAAGGAAGAATCTGGTTCTTAAAAAAGCGTAAGTGCCTTAGAGGTATCATATTTGAGAAAATAATGCAAAAGTAAGGTTTACTTCTTTTTTGTCTTTGAGCTTCCTGAAGCTGATGATTTGCTTGACCTTTTCAGGTTTCCTCTGTAACATTGAGGACAAGAACATTGTTTAAGAAGATAAATGATGCATGATTCTAACATTTGGGATATAAAGAAAAGCACCAGAAGCCATGAGCAAAAGTAATATTGTAGGAGTTGGCAATACTGGAACTAAAATAAAGCAGTTGTGTATTTATGTAGAGAATACAGAATATAAGGGAGAGGTTGAAAGAGTAAAATTAAAACTATATAATCCTTTATTAACAGTACTGTAAATAGTTGAATAGCTATGTTTTACCGCTAAACCCAAATAATACTAAACAACAGAAGTAATTGATTTTTAAAATAATTAGAATACATTCATAATGATGAATGAAAAAACCCAACAAGTTTGTTATGCTACTTAGTAAAATGTTATTTGCTGCTACAAAGTTTGGGTGTTTTTGCTGCTACATTTTGGGTGTTTTAAGCACAAGACAAAGAATATGGTGCAAATTTTTGGAAGCTCCGTTATATTAACAGTTCTAAATAAAGCAGATGAAAACATTAAAACTATTTTCTCTAAAGATAAAAATTGGACCAAATTAGAATTTTAATTTCATACCTGATATTTTTCTATCGTTTTCAACTATGGATTGTGTCCCAAATCCTCTTAAACTATCAGGAGACTTAAAATCTCATGGTGGCAGAGCAAAAGAGTCTGTCCTTTCGAATAATTGTAGCAAAGCTCTTGATTTAAAGCATATTTAGCTACAGAAGATGATGTAGATCTAGCCATAGGATATATTAA